CCGCGATGATCATTACCTTTTGACGTGGACGTCCATAGGCCCTCCGCCATCTCGTCACTTGTCAAGGAGAGAATCCTTCTTGTTACTTGTAACAGATAGCCGATTGTCGAAATCCCGCTCGCTTGTAAAACACGTTATATACACTTGGAATAGATACCCAACTTTTTAGCCCTCTACAGACACTCGATTTCCTATCTTGCAACACCACAAGTCGTTGCTAGGCCGCTAGTATCTACTACCTTGGATTTCATCCGGCCTTCTCTAACTAGTCTGTATCTGTCTAAAAGCTGGCCAACCGGTAGGTTTTTATATGGAGATCGCATTTCGATCAGGTTATTGCTCCCAATGAGCTGTTTGTACTGCTGTAGTGGCTTGTTGCTTAGCAAATCACGCACTTGAGCAGCAACTGACAGCCCTGCTGTGCAGAAGCGGTCTGGCTTTCACATTCTAGCTGGGTTAAAGCATGGCTAGATAACTCATGTTGACATGACTAGATATTATTTCGAAAATAGTCAGCGGCTTGAGATGTACTGGACCCCATGCAACAGACCACTAGTAGTATAAGAGAGATTTTATTGAGAATAGGATACCAAGCACACCATTTGATGTTGTATAAAGAGTACTTGTTAGCGAGGGTTTTCACAGATAGGCACAAAATATAAGTCAGAGCAAACTAAGACAAATCCTTGATGAGTAGCATAAGGTTCGGATGAGACTTATATATACTATAAACGTGACTGTGGTTTCCTTTGGACCGAGGACTGGCTTTGTTGGGCCTAACTTTCAAATTATCATTACATTTTCACCACAGGTAAGTGATTTAATTATCACATGGGGCACCGTTGAGGCTGGGACAGACAGAATGGTAACGTCTTCCATCGGTTGGGTTGCCCTCCCAACCCGCACAATCAGCCGCGCTCCAGGCTCTCTCGACGAGGCACTAAACAGTAGAGGCGTCTTGTTAGCAAAAAGTTCTGGAAAAACTATGCTTTGTAGCTTTTTTGTCCCCAAAGATGAATACGTACAGTGTTTGTGTTTGAAAGCCTGTCATAGCAGGTTATTCCTCGGCCCCTGCAGTACCATGCGGCAATCACTGCAGACCTCCCACTGGGCAAAATCTCGATACATTGACAGGCGAGCAGGCCTGCTACAAGAGGTGCACTAGGTATGAGTTAGTGGGATAGTATAGCATGAGGTTGCTACGTGGAAACTTACCTGGCTGCAAGGCTTGCGAGTAGGAGAGTGACCTTCATGGCTTAGATAGAGCGGATTGAGTTGACTTGACTTGAGTTGTAGAAGAGAATCGGTTGTGATGAAGAATATAATGCGAGTACGACGCAGCAGTGAAGGTATTCATGCCTCAACACAGACCTCTTTTTACCTCGGTCTTTACTTATTCTAACATGGGATCCCTATTGTTGTAGCATCTTCCGCCTTTGACTGCCTTTCACCGCTAGTCAGTGGGGTGGCTGCGCAAATATTGAGGTTCTACGATCTACGCAGTACACAATGATCTCAAGCTATGGCATCGATACAAAGTAAATTGAGTATCTCGTGACACGCAACATGAGAATAAGTACTATTACAGAATATGAAGAAGCCTAGAGAGAATTGGTAGGTGTAATAGCCGGCTATCTCGAGGTAATATGCACGCTATGCAGACGCCTGCAGTACACGGCAGCGTACATCCTAGTGCAACCATTCCTAATCAAGTATAGAGATATTGATAGTCCAGATACGGAGAACAGAGCAGAATTTCTGACAGACAGTTTGATCAGCAGATCATTTTATGAATGAGCGTCAAGGTGCTTTGCGAGACTACAACACATCCCTGCTATTGGCACGCTCACGAATCAGTGTGCAAGTCAGAGCAATTGTGAATAACTTTACTTGGAGATGAGAAGAAGTAGATTCCTCCCAAGAAAGCGTATCTTGGAGAGCGCTATGAATCTTGACAAGGAGAGCTTGTCTCATCGGACGTTTTACGGGGGCTTGGACTGTCAAAAGCACAATCTATAAAGCCGCGAGAAGAATAGCTGTGAGTGAATTTACTTGAACACAGGACAGGGTAGATTTTCCGTCTGTGAGTGAATCTTGGGAGGAAGCGGGGATCTTGGTTTGTCTACAGTTTAGTCCATGAAGCCATAATACGAACAGTTGTGAGTGAATTTATGTAAAAGCAAGACGGACTAGATTTTGCCATATGCAAGCGGATATTGAAGAGGTGCTGAGGATCCCAAGCAGGAGGCTTAGCTATCCGGGCGGCTCACGGGAGCTTGGCTTTTGCTTGTAGTCTATAAGGCCGTAAGTAGATGTGAGTATACGATAGATGTATGTACATCCCCAGAAACGGACTGTCTCTGACATTTGGCTAACCCAAAAAGGAAGTGATATGCGCGATCTATCTCTCACGACACGGCAAAAGGAAAGGTCCTACTCGATGCACTTCAACACGGTATTTTTGTATAAGATGGTATGTCTCTGTGAGTTTGTGAGTTGTATCAGACACTATCATCCTCTCTTCGTACATACTATACACAACAAGCCATTTACTTGAAACCCTTCAACTCGCGTCCTCTACTGCAATGCAGCTCAAGTTCAACGCAATTGGCCTTTTGGCTATTATGACTTCCCTGACGTCCGCTATACCTGCGGAGCACGTCAGTCTTGTAGTCCAGGGTGAAGTTGCCGTCTCAAAACTAGAGGCGAGGCAGGTGCAGTATAGCTGTCAAGTTGTTCGAGCGAACCAATTGGGAAGATGCCGAAATGCGATTGCTGATCTGAGGAGGCGCGATCTTAGAGGATTCGATGTCTTTGGTAGGTATCGCTAGTTTATTGTGTCTAGAAGCTGACTGACATCGTATAATAGCTTGCATTAGCGCCGGTGCTGCTTTCTTTGATTCTTGTGCGGCTGCAGTCGCGATGGGGGGCTTGGGTAAGATACTATTTAGCTCATTGAAATCCAAAATAACACATACAGATTCTCTAATTGACGTGGGCTGCATTGGAACTATTGCCAGCATTGAGGCTGGATGCAGAGGTTGCAAGGCTGGTATTGAGGAACGGGATGTAGAGCGTGCAGCAGCCACGATATCTACTTAAGTGGGCCACGGATACCTTCTCCCCACCAGCGCAGTATTGGATCGATCGACAATTTTATCCAACAGTTCACAGCATGCACCCAGCCGTCGCGAAAGTAGGCTCTTCTTTGTCAACATGTTACGGTTGTAACTGAGAAGCCATGCCATAGCTGGTACGAAGTAGTAATCCGTCGAAATTATAAAACAATGATGACACCACTACATACTATCATTCAACTCTTATGACTTTAACTTTGATTGTTTGCACAAGTTTGGCGTATAGCATATTGGACTGGTTTTCCTGGAAAAGAATGTTAGGCCACACGCCAACCTGCCCGAATCGAGTATCAAAAGGAAAGAATTAGCAATTGCTATGAATCCGATAAGCTTCTCATCCATGTTGTAAGCATGTAGCGCATTGATAGTGTACCGGGCGAATTTGTCCAGTAGGAGCCTTAAAAAGAGTGCTTATTTCATTTCTCAATCGGCCCGAGCACAATTCAGTCCTTATTGGCGGTGACTTCTAATTTCAGGTCATCTGGATGGCACTGAACAAAAGCAATCACCCCAGCAGTAACCAATCTCTTTCTGAGCAATCTCTGAAGCCCAGATGGGGATCATCTTTGTTTTGGGTGCCGCGCTATATAGGGTTGGCTCTGTTTATATATTTCAAGAGCTCATTTTCTTGTTGTAGTTTGAGGGATTGTTGATTCTGAAAGTGAACAGTGTGTGGGGTGCTTGAACCTTGATGCCGGTGCGCGAGCGTTACCCGGTTCGTGCCACCCCTTTTCGCGATCTGGGGTAAATTAAGGATGCCTTCAAGCACAGCTTCAAAGCACTCTATGTGGGGTGGTTACGGCATAGTGGTGATGATGGCGGTGGTTTTAGTGGGCCAGCGGTCGTTGCGCTGTCCGGCACTGGACTACCTAGTAGTAATCTACGATTGGTTAAATCCCCCATCACGGATCCACCGCCAAACAGTGGAAAGTTTCGTTATTCTAATTCTTAACTTCCCAAGGCCGAATGTACCAACTCTGCAAAGCTGACGATTTATATCCTCATTTTATGTTTCCTTGACCCTATGCCGTATCGAAGCACATCCTCTCAACACAGCAAGAGCAAGTCTGGATACCGACTCATTACTATGGAGCAAACTAAATCTAGTAATGGCAGAAAAAAATGATGTGCACAAATCTTATATTTGGAGTAATATGATCTTGTCTATCAAGGCCATGGAGATGCGCCAAGACCCGCGTATGTGTGCCTGAACACGAAAGGTCAGGATCGCCGCATTCCACGCCTCTTGACTATTTGCCTAATACGGTCTACACTACCACTAGGCGCCAACAGCCTCAGCCTTGGGCTTTTTGTATGTAAACATCAAACTTCCAAATTTCTCATTACACTCTTGCTGGGCAAAAGGGACACGGCAGGTAACGATTTCTGCAGTATTCTCGAACAACATCGTGAGTCGTACAGGCGATGCAACATCAATAAGTAGTCAAACATGGCGACAACTGAGAGCCAAAACAAACAGTCAGACGTCTCCAGTGACAACAGCAACAAGCCCACGCCAGCTCAAATTGAGGCAAGAACTATCCTTAACCACGTCCTTACTCAGCTCCAATCCCACCCCCACTACACCACCACCTACAGCCCTTGGATCCAGCGCAACGGCCACACCCAGCTCCTCAACTTTTGCCAACCGCTAGTCATGCCACGAACCTGGAACTTCCTCTCCAACCGCTGGTCTCTAGATGCCTTAAAACCGCTATCAGGGGACCTGCGCTACTCGGGCCGCGCCATCTACCTCGACGGCATCCTAGGCCTCGACAAGCGGCTGCGCATCTACGTTGGGCAGAGCCACAATCTGCGGGCTCGCGTGGCGCAGCATCTGAACTTCAGGTACAGGAGAGACCATAGCTCGCTGCACTACTTTGCGCTGCAGGAGAGCGTGTACAATATACTCGGTGCTATCGTTATTTTACCTGGTGTGAATACTGGGCCGGGTACGGATGACATGCCGTTGCTGATGAATGTGCTCGAGCTGTGGATGTGTCTTGTTTTTCGGTCGTTGCCAATGCAGGTGCTTGAGGAGTGGCTGCCGGATGATGGGTCGGTGGAGAGGAAGAGGAAAGTAGGGAAAGAGGGGGTAGTGAGCGGACTCAATGTTGCGTGTCCGCTTGATCAGGGGAGGGATGATAGGATGTTTGTGGATTTGAGTGATGACGAGGATCCGCTTGTTAAGGCGTATTTGAAAGAGGTCAGGAGGAAGAAGAAAGAAAAGGAGGAAGATGAGATTGTCAGAAGAAAAGAAGCGTATGTAGAGAAGGCGACGGGGTACAAGGGAGGAGATGGAGACATACGTGTTCCGCAATGGGTCTTCTACGGTGTACTGGCAGGGGTTCTGGGGTATGTTTTGGTTAGTAGTAGAGTGGGACAGAAGCTTAGATGGTGGATGATATAGAAGTGGAGATACATAGTTCATGCGACAGTCACGCTAGTATTACTTTTAGACTCATGAGATGATGACGATAAGATTCAATCGAGTGTTTCTGGTTTTCTATTGGAATTGCTACATGATACCCAGCATACTGAATAAGAACCAGGGAAATAATCGTATAGTACCCAGGCGACCAGAGTCCAGCTGCAAGTCCCTGCTTTTCCCCATTCCACTACGCCAAACTAGAAGTATCAAATAATCTACAGTTGCCGCCTAGCACCACTCAAATACTCGGTTTAGATGGCAGTGCGCTGGTTCCGGTGGGTGTAATCGTCACGCTTTGCAATGGCTCCATTCACACATTTTGTGCCTCCAGCCACGGGCATCATAAATGCCTTTCCAAAGTTACAAAGACCGTATTGCGTACCGTCGGGTGAGCAGACGAGTTGGCCATCAGCAGAGCAAGGCATGCCAGTAGAGAATCCAGAGCCTGGGGCTGGCCCAGCTGAGGGACGAGGTGCAACGGGGCTCGGGACTGGGGCTGCGATGGGTTGAGTGGGACCGGGGCCTTGAGAAGGTTGAGCGGGCCTGGGCTTGGGAGCCGGAATGGCACTACAAGCAGAAGGAGCCATGACACCACCTGGGTTGGTAGGCACAGGAGCCATGGGCGCGGTGACAGTCTTGACAGTACGGAAGGTCGACGACATCGCGGATCCAGCATCTGATGCAACTGGAGCCTGTGAAGAAGCCCCAGCACCATCAGAGCCACTACCACCGCCACCACCACTACGACCCATTCCAGGCTGCGAAGTTGTACCCGCGCAAAGATCCATAAACGGACCCTCGCTAGATGTCGTACCAAACATGCCTGGATTCGCAAATGTATAGTCGGCCCCTTCTTTCGTCGTACCACACGAGCCCGGGACGTTTATATTCGCAATCGCCATATGGGGAAGCGCATCCAGACCCGATGCATCATCCGCGCCGCCAGTGACTGAAACAGAAGCGCAGTTCATGTACATTTCGCGGTTACCGATCTTGTTGAACCACGTCCAAGCCACAGTCAGGTCGCCGGAAGGAAGATCCTGGGGGACGGTAAAGGGGAAATTGCCGTTGTAGCTCTCACCGTTTTGATCTAGGTTACCCTCTACGTTGGCAGGACATCCGCCTTCGATGCTATAGATGACTTTCCACTTGGAATCTTTGGTGGGCGGTTTGTCGGTGGTTACGCTCATCTGGCAGCTTCCACCGCCGTGAACGGCAGTGCCCGAGAAGGAGAGGGATTGGGTTGATCCAGCGGGCCACTCGTTCACTGTAGCAGAACCACTAGCCGGGCCCTTGCAAGGGAAGTCAGAACCATCTGGGGCGAGTGGTGAGTTATTTGGGGCGTTGAAGGGAACCGGGTTGGCCATGATCATGTGAGCACTGGAGAGAGGCGCCAGGGCCGCCAGGGCCGCGGTAGCGAGAAGAGTAGTCTTTTTAGTAGGCATCTTAGGTTGATAGATCTCCTGGAAAATTCGTGTAGCTGTTTGGAAAAGGAGTGTTTTGAAGCTGGGTGATCAGCAAGTTGTAGAAGTTGATGCGTTTGGTTTGGCAGGATAAGGAAAAATATCAGCAGTCTTATGTAGTTTGTCGCGCTGAAGGTGAGGAGTGTGTTGTGGAACTAAAGTACAATAGCGATTGTGGTTGTGTGATCTCACAATAGCTTCACAATGAGACATGTCAAGGGACTGGTGGCTGTCGATTGTGAAGGTGAAGGTGAATGCAAAGGTGACGCATGTGTTGAACGTCATCAGCCAGTGAATTCGAAATCTTGCGGGACTTTTCGACGTGGAAATGGTCTGGTCCTTTCAGGAGTAAAAGGAGAAGCCGATCGGATTCTATGTTGAACGATTTTGAAACGACTCGTCGTGCACATGACGGGAAAAGCATAGTGAGATGGTAGTTGGGAGATTTGAGGATAAGACAGTAGCGTGAAAAGAAATGATTGAAGCAAATAAAGAAAAAGATACGCTAGAATGCTGTCCATCACAATTGTGGTTTTGTCATCTATGCAGTGAATCGAAAGTGACAAGTCTTGAATTACCCATGGTCTCCGAGTTGGATATACCGATGTGGTCGAAAAAGCAGCGCTGCTGGTTTCGTATCTGAGACTTGATATTAGCAGCATTTTACCGTAATTTGTCATGTGAGTAAAAGTCTAAACTTATTCATGCTCTGCCATCATGGAACGTAAAAGTATAGCGCGTGGTTCCATTGGTGAAGTGAAGGGAGGGAAGCCTAGTGCGGATATAGACTAGCGTGTCTTGGCACGTCTAGCTGCAGCGCAATCGCGAAAGCATCCCAACGCTTGCCAGGTACGCGCAAGAGGATTCACGATTCGAACGGATTTGCACAATCTGGCATAGCGAAGGAGGGTCGTGCTACAGAATCAACCCGACATACCCTGCGTGGCTTGGTGCGCAGATTGTGCTCTCCCATACATTGCGACGCGTCCGGTGTTCGCGAGCTCTGTTGAGCTTCCTCAGATTCCCTACACGACCCATCGCGCGCATCAACAGCCATGTTTACAAGCACGG